ATGCCGGGCCATTGTGAACATGTACTCACTCGGCTCCTCCACGAACTGTGTCCGTACGCCGAGCGCCCGATTCAACCACTTTGGGAATACAAACGACGGTATCATTTGCCACACATTGAAGTCCATAACGCGGCGCCCGTTGACCACAAACTCGCTGTTGGGCTCCGACTGGGCGTTGATTTTGGTGGCGAAAGCGCACGAAGCGATCACATCCAACGCGAAACACTGATGAAAGGGCTTGATATTGATTGGCTCACTACCGGAGCTGTGGTTTGTGATCACATCCAAGTGATCGCACATTTCGCGGACACACTCTCTGACCAAATGATACATTCGGCGCATTTTGCCGGACGTGAAAGTGGGCGACATTATTGTGCGCAACCGTTTCCAGTCGTCGCCGGTGTTGAGGAACAGAGCCTTATTAATGATGGGGTGTTCAGTGGTCAGCGACCGGCGGTCGGCAAACGCCTGGAAGTCTTTGACCGTTATTTGTTTGATTATCTCCGGCTCCGCCACCAGTAGTACTGGATTTCTGCCGTCGTATACACTGCGGAGGAATAATTAGTTTTTGTTAAGTTTTAATTATGTTTTTGTTATTTGATAAACATGTCGATCAATTAGTACCCAATTATGGTGCCGTACTTCTTGAGGTACCCGACATCTATCACAGCGAGTGGGCGGACACACCGGTGCAGGAAATTACCGAAAACAACGATAGGCTTCGGGCCGTTGACACCCAATCTCTTCCAGTGATCATAAGTTTTTGTTAAATACCTATCATTTTTGTTAAAAGTGATTAACGTTTTGTTTGCATCAACATTGATATTAAAATGATTATTAACTTATAAAACTATTTTTAGTTAACTATTTATGATGGTGATTATGCTAATACTTACCAATAAATTGCTAATATAGCGCTCAATATTACGCTAACTATAGTTAAACTAACCATTATGAATAATATTTGATTTATTAGTTTTTATTATAACATTTATTATAAAAATTTTTGCTGCACTAGGGTATTTATACCATTATACACCATTATATACTGTATTTAGAAATAGACATATTTTTACAATGTAATCATTATTACACAAAACATGACAAATTAAAATGAGATTAATCGGGTGCATATTTTACTAATTGTATATTAATTAGATGTAATTAATGCACCTAAAGTTCAATAAATACGCTTTATCAATGAACTTGATCAAAATATTTGATGATAACTGAATTATTTATTTGATATATTCTGCTTATTATTTAATTTGTAATATTTATGTGACAGCTAATAAACAATTTTTATCATAATTAATTGCATGATTTAATGGCCATAGATGTATCGGTTTTATTTAGTAATCAATCAAGGTTGTTTTAAAAAATAATATTAAAAATTTATAACTAAAATGTTGATAGCTGTGTTAGCAACAGTTCTCACTCTAATACATTTTTCTAAAATATTTAAAAATTAGTCAAAATTATTTAAAAATATATAAATGATTATTTATTTATTATTAATTAAAACAATAATGTCCATGCAAAAAAAATTGTGCACATCTGTGCCCACACAACCCATACTTAATACAATTGAAAGGTAGAAATTATTAATTAGTATTATACATTATTTTGGCCTTAATTTAATGTTTTATTCAAACAATACTTTTATCTCTCATTTGACAAACACTTAATCCTTTTATTTGTTGCTATTTTTGGTGACAAATATTTATAATTTAAACACAAGACTCAATGCATTGTTGACCAGAGATGTGAACATTTCATAAAGAAATGCTTAATATTTATCACAATTGACTCAAACTTTTAATTATAGTTTAAATGACGTGTTAAAATTAAAACATTAACTATTGAACATGATAATAAATAATTGAAAATTTAAACAAATTCAATTAACTATTGATTTAATTGTACGTTTATGTATTTGTTAAAAATTTTAAATCTATAAAAATATATTTTATAAAATATTTCTCATTATTATATTTCATATTCAATATTTTTTATTACAAGTAATGTTTGATTTAATGTAAAGTATTGAGTAAAAAGTTTTGTATGAATTTATCATATCATTATTCTATTTCTGTTTCCGTTTTATTAGTAAGTCTTATATTGAAAGACAAACACATGTTTTGATTGAGAATTGAGTTAATTGTATTAATTGTTTGTTTCAATCATTTTGTGTGAAAAATGTCACAAATCTATAGCAAAGACTCTTTCGATAGATTTGGTGACGATTTGTGCGA